CTCAGCACGCGGGGCCCCGATCCTGGGGCAGGCTCAGCACGCGGGGCCCCGATCCTGGGGCAGGCTCAGCACGCGGGGCCCCGATCCTGGGGCAGGCTCAGCACGCGGGGCCCCGATCCTGGGGCAGGCTCAGCACGCGGGGCCCCGATCCTGGGGCAGGCTCAGCACGCGGGGCCCCGATCCTGGGGCAGGCTCAGCACGCGGGGCCCCGATCCTGGGGGGCAGCCAGGCACCCAGTACGCAGACTCCCGATTCAGGCAGTGGGGCTCCCAGCACATAGGATCCTGATTCAGGAGGGGAGGGCTTGCGCGGGGTCCTAATTTGGCGAGTGGGACTCCTAGCACACAGGGGCCCGATTCTGGGGGACTCCCAGCAGGTGGGATTCCAATTCTGGGCGAGGCTCCCCAGGAGTGGGGCTGCTGGTGGGAGCCAGTTTTAAAGTCCTGCTGTGCATCGGTGTCTGCCCTGTGCTCTTGCCACTGCATCAGAGGCAGTAGCACTGGGCAGCAGGCAGGAGCCAACAGTTGCCCTGCATGTAACTGTTGAAATCTTCAGCAGTTACACGGTCACTTCATTACACACAGTTTAACCACCTTAGTATGCACTGCAATGTCTGAAGGCTCTCACCTGTTGTCTTCCTGTAGTGCAGTACCCCGCTTTACCCTTTCTCTTGGATTCCTCAGTTTATGTCAGTGGAGAGCTTCCTAGCTAGAGGTTTGTGGCCTGTTTGTTGGGGGCATTATCTGAAGCTACGGCATCAGTGCTGCATGCTCAAAACCCGCCTTTTAGTCCATTATTTGTATTACAACAGCACTTAGGAGCCCTACTCCTCAACTAGGATCCCATTGAAACTGGTGCCGTAGAAACACCAAATAAAAAGATGGTTCCAGTGTAGATAAAAAACAAGGAATAGTCTGAATAGTCTATCAGCACCTTCAAGACTAACAACAGTATAGATGTGTACCCAGTCTAAGTACAAGGCAATAGACCGCAGATGGATATGCCAGATGGGGGAGTGCAGGAAACTGCGATCAGTGTAAGTCAGCATGATAAGCAGTGGTCTCAGCACACTGGCAACCTGCTGTCAAGTTTTTGTAGCACCGCAGCAAAGGTGTTTTCCAGAGGCTAATGAATTAGTTTTGCAGAAGTTTTTGGAGTCCGCGTGTAAGCGTGAGGGGCAGCATGTACTAAGGTGCTTGTGTGAACATTTAACAAGCGGGTGGTGGGGGCTGACGTTATGGAACGATTGGAGATGAGAATCGACATCTCAGGCGCAAATGAGATGGTGGGTAGAATGGTAGTAGGCCTGGAAAGGGACGATACAAGCATCTCACATTTAATATGGTGTGTGGGGGGGGAGGGTAATGCAAGCGCTGCCGAGGGATGCAAAGAGAAAGGGCACTGAAGAGATGGGTTAGGAGAAGGGTTTTGCAGTGGATGTGAATGGGGCAAGTGGCATTTGTCAAGGCCAGGGCGGATATTGCAGTCACGGAAAGTGAGACAATGAGGTGCGTGGATCTATAAGAAAGGCCGCAGACCTCAGAGAACTGTGCAGAAATACTACACCACTTGTCTTGAAGTGGGTTTTACCCACAAAAACTCATGACCCTGGATATTTTTGTTAGTCTCTAGGGTGCAGAAAGAATTGGCCAGAATTCGCTGTAGCCTGGAGGACCTAGAGAGAAGTGCGAGGCAGAAGGTGGTGCCCACGTAGTGGGCCTGTGTGACAGAGTGGTGCCACTGTCCACAGGTAGGACGGAAGGAGGTGAAAGGGAGGGCTGGTGAGGAGGATTAGGAGCTCTCTCTCAGCTGTGTTGGGCTGGAGCCGACAGCTGCGCAGCCGTGAGAGATGTCAGAGAGACCAAGGTTTTC